GCAATTCAGCTGCTGTCCACACAATATAACCAATTATCCATASTTGTCAATCATCGTTTGTTGTTCATTTTGTTTGCAATCAAAATAATATATATTAAATATAAAAAACTTTCTTAGTTAGGAAGTTATGAATCATTACTTTCAATTTTTTTACTTTTTGCGATTTTCAGTCGTCAAATTAATCAAATTAATCATTTCTAGTCAATCTGTAGCTGTCGATAATCTTTCATTGTTCATTTTAATTGCGTGCGTCGTTTCCATGCCAACCATTYTCCTATTGGCTATTCGCTCTACTCAATCTCAGGTATAAGGTCCTAGTTGCATCTCTCCTTCTCTCATACTTTACTGAAGAGGGGATCAACCTGCGAAACGCCATTGGTATGTAACTAAAACTTTATGATTACGTTATAGATTCTATAATTACAAAATCCAAAAGTTCGCTTTAATCAGATCCAATTTGCAGATGTARAGAATTTCTAAAATTTCCTTGAATTTCTAGAGTTTTCAATGAAATGTGTCGTACTGTTTCGTATATTTTAATCGTGATCAATCCTCCAAACCAGATGGCAACTTTAATACTTTTTAACAAAGGCTGCTGTACAATTTTATTTTATTATGATTGTTTTATGTTATTAAACCCTGCGTTTATTGGAGATTTAAGGACATATAAAGCTTTAGTGTCAATTAATGTGATGGGAAGTAAAGTTGTTTTCAATGCGTTGTGGACCTAACTGTGTAACTTTCTCCAATCTTCTCTCTTGTGCGTTCTCCCATCTCAATAAATTTGATCACAGCTATACCAAGCATAAGTTGCCTGTAGAAAATGATCGAAAGTAATTGTGTTACTCCGGTTTCCGCTTCTATCGAACGAACAGATTTCTAGGAAACCTTTCAGAAAGGGTCTACCTTTCCACGAATAGAGCCTAATTCCAATATTTTATATGTTTAGCTATGGAACGAAACRTCAAAATCGAAATAGAATCTATTGGAAAAGACGGTGTCAACGAGAACCCAGACAGCGGTTATGCTCAAGATTATAAGCTCTGCGACTCCAGAACGCTTAAARAAACTTTGAAGCCGCTGTTCTTGTCGATGAGGATTATGGGATTGGTGTATGGAGATGCATTTCAAGYGAGTTGTGTGAAGTCCAATGCCGTAGGATGTTACGATGRAACTTTGGAGCATAAAATCGAACAYCAAGMAAGCAAAAAGAAGCACCGTCCCATGAGATGTAGGAACCTGTTTGGGTTCTATTACAGCGTCTTCRTTGGTGCTGTGCTGCTCCTSATAATCTCTCACGGAATGTATGARATTTCTGAAACTCGTGAYACGTTARGYTTAATGACAAGGACTTTTCTTKYCATTTGGGTGATTTTRTGTACTTGCCAGCACAGCCTCTGTGCTTACATCACTTCATATCGCTCCAAGAAAAACCCAAGTAACAGATTTGACAAGTTTGTTAGAGCCATGATGTTAGTWAGAGAGGAAAGCGTTCTCAAGACCAAACAGCGAGTCCTATATAATGTAACATTTGGCTGGTTCTAYATGATGATTAATGCTGTAGTGRTTTGGGTAGGAGCTTCCTATCAACATCTCAACATTCTTGGACTATATATAGGRGAGTCAGACTGGGCTCGTTCTCATTCTATTAAGCTCACTTACGCATATTCGTTTGCGATTCTTGTTATGGTTGGTGCATGGGCAATTCCAACGTGTTTTTACATCTCACTCTGTTTTGTGSTTGGTGGTTGCTTCGACGACCTGCTTGACAGAGCTTCCGCTACAATTTTGGAAAAGAAARAAATCAACCTGGAAAATCTTTGGAGAGAGTATGTTCGACTTTGCAACGYGCTGTCCGCTCTAAATGACTTGCTRTCGCCTCTTGGGATGGTGATGTTTTCGATTTACATGCCACTCATATGTCTCAACATGAACGTTTGCATCAAAACCTTTGAACGCGACTCTGTTATCCATCAGGCGGCGTATATTGCGTGGATTTTGATGAACTCTTCTATTCTCTGCATCATCTCTTTGTATGGAGCTTGGGTGAACGAATCGGTGAGTCTCAGAGGTGGACTCATAGCAACTGACAAAGTTTTATAAGCCATTCAAGCAATCAAATCACCACATTTTAATAGTCTTCTTCACGGTTCCCTGCGCCATCTTGAAAGGTAGCCGTGCCTTTGCATCTAAGCGAGACAACCGTTGAGTGTGCAATGATAGAAACCTAAGTTCTTTCACATCTACAGACAATTATTCACAGTTATCTATCATTGTACGCTCAACGGTCGTCTCGCTTCGATGTAAAGGCACGGCCACCTTTCAAGATGGCGCTGGAAACCTTGAAGAAGACTATTAACCTTTATAGATGACGTACTAACTAACAATTTTCCCGATTCGTTTCACAGGCAAGCCGTCTTTCTGAAATTCTCTGCAAAATCAATATCAGAGAACTTGACATTGAAAGCAAGCTCGAGGTAATAATTCTCTTACTTACCTGGTCATGTATTCTCAATTCTGGCAACCAAAAATTAATTCTTTCTCTATACAGCTGATGTTACTACTGAAGAACGTGACTACTAATAACGCCAGTTTGACTGTTGGGGGCGTGGTGACTATTACCAAAGGGATGATTTTGACGGTAATTATTGACCTACCCTGTACGAGACCCATATTGACCCATATTCTCCACTTTCAATGGAGAAAATCGCACGCTTTAAAGGTTGTAAATTTGATGTATATATAATGTAAGTGTCCAAGATTCTGTAAATTTAATGGAAATCATTTACATCAACTTTACAGAATTTTGGACACTTACATCATATTTACATCTTTACATCAAATTTACAACTTTTAAAGCGCGCGACTTTTTCGATCCAGTGTTTTGATGAGAAAAGAAGATCTGGGGACGAGTTAGTGGCATTATTCTGCGCATGCGCCTCTATGAGTTGTAAATCCAAATACGTTAAGAAATAATGTACAGAGGTTATTATTTTGTTTAATAGTTCTGTGMTTTTTGACTATGTTGCAGATCTTTGGAACCATCATTGGATACCTTACAGTTATCATGCAGTTCAAATAATACAAAATAGCTTCAATGATTCATGATTTCTTGGTCCAATCACCATTATKCATTYAGTCACATGATGGACGTCAATTGTAAATAYAGAMACAGGGAACGGTTTTGAGAAAGGCGGCAACTGGATATGTGACTGTAGTTTATAGCTAAGTTAATGAATAATAATAATATTTATGTTTCTTCTCATTTTGTGTAATATGTAGTTAGTTCTATGAGTCAAAGGACTCTAGAAAGGGCAAACTAGGTAATCTAAGCCGCAATCGTTCACTTTCCTTGTGGTCCATGAAACTGGTGGAGAAACCGGTGGAGAACCCGGGGGTAAGTCGAGCTAAAATCCATATAAGCGATGCTCAATAATTCCTCTTAGCAGGAACCTTGTTGTAGTAATCACTGAAAGAAATATTACTAATCTTACTAWGTAATAAAATATATTTGACAACGTAAAAAATGTATGAAAATTAATTTTTTTAGGCCGGAACAGCTCACATTTCGTTAGTATGGAAAGTTAGGTGTTAATGTTTCTGATTCTGTAGAAACGTAAAACTTCTTATTGTCCTTCCTACTTAGATCTTATAAAAAACTTGTAAATTTTTTACCTACCAAACATATATGTACGTACTTTTAAAATTTCTTTGGAATTATTTCTAATTATTTTTGATTTCAATTAGTTTTTTATGAAAACGATCCCTTTGCCCTGTAGCTATGAATATTATGAATATTTTAAGAGTACGAGCATTATAGATTCCACGATCGTCAACCGAGAGTATTATGTTTTTGTTAAGATCTTATGACATGTTTTGACTGATCGGAGACCACGCAGACAGGTAATGAGTTTGTGATGAGCTATTTTCTCTACCTTTGTCAGAATTCGCCATGTTTTTCGYACTTAGCCAATCAGTAACTCTAAATTTTGTCTTTTAAATTCAAATCCAAGCCATTCCRCCTCTTCGGACACACCTTCTAGTGTATTTATCTTGGTTCTGTTTCCTCTAGATGATGTTTTTCGCTCAAATTTATTAAATGAAATTGAAAAATTAGACCTTAATCTCRGGAACAAAAGGTTTAGACATGAAATGCAAATGGTATAAGGCAACAAAGGAAGAAAAGTAATATATTGCGGTCTTGTATTTGACTGGTAAGAAGACTGAACTGTTTTTATTMATCAAAATACACAATGTTTCTGTAATGTATGGTTGCGATAGCTCTATCTGCCACACACAGACCTTCGCCCAGGTATGGAGCATCTGATATTCTATAAACAACAAAAACCTAGAAAGGGACAACAGTTTAAATTGATTTGTTCACCATTCAAATGGGTATACATCTTATGATCGATGTAAGACATCAATTTTGCTGGACAATTGTTTTAAGAGCCAAGGGCACATTTCACCGATTATATACAAAGATTGAGACAAAATATATATTCAAAGGAAACATAAGAATTCATTGATAAGATTAGTATCTAACACAAAAAGGACAGCGAGAAAACTCAATTGCATTTTTTGAATGTTTTTAATTTGTAATTAAACTACGTTTCGATTTTTCACGGTCTCTCTAATTAATACTAATAAAAGGCGATTGATTTGAGAAAATTGAAATCATAAACAGGAGAGAAACCTTACATTCCATAAAAATATCATGTCTGCAATTTTCATTCCTTTTTCTGTCGCATTCTAGAAAAACATCTGCAAACATATAAAGGAAGGATTCCTATGGCGACCTAGATGTTTTACATTCAAAAAAATATATATACTCATTAGGAATGAGATCCCTTTGCAGTTTAATCATATGGTGCTCGCCCATTTGGAGAGATTTCTATGGCGAATGTTTTTTGTTCGTCCATGAATGTTTTTCTCAGCACGTCTTTGACCGGGCCTATGACACGAAAAGCCGCTGTCAGAATGGTAAAATATATTATATACGGTGTTTGTTTTCATATGAAGTAAAAACCCGCGACTAAGAACTTAARCATACTAAACAGGTTTTTATGTAAATGGTATAGTTACCAAAACCTTWGGTTCTTAAAATCAGTAATTAAAAACTGCTTTTTTTTTCTCCAAATACGATTCTAGCACTAATTTACTGATGTTACATTTATAGSAGATTATAATCTGTTTCTGATTTTTAGGTTCTTGTTTTTAGGAGGTATAAAACTGATCCAACTGATTATAGGTTCATTTAAGATTCTTAGTGGTGGCATGTGTTGTTCAAAATTTCTTCTCTTAAAGAACTCCATGAATCGATTCATTCATGTTTAGATTACCAAAAAAACGGAGCTCGATGTGTTGATGAATAAGGTCGGCATCGCATTTATTATTGACAACCAAATATACTTGTCCTGAAGTTCGCCGTGTCATAGATATTGTCCTTTGCCTAGTATAAACGAGAAAATCAGATCCACTCAAAACATCACTTTGATGTTATGAACCATGGCGAAACAAACAAATTTCTAATTACAATAGTAAAATAACAAAAATGTAGCAGGATATAATTAGAGTTCTGTGCTAAATCTAAAATTTATAACGACGTTTCAGAATTCTTGGAATTGACGAACTCTTGGAAATGATTATAATAGAGCAGACCTACTTTGGGACCCATAGTTAGTCCCAAATCACATAAAACCGCCTCAAATCGCTCGAAATCTCTTGACATTATTATAAGATGTTATAGGGCAATCAAGTTGGAAAAATTGTAATTATAAAATATCAATGTTAACTCGTTTAAAGATTAAGTAATGCCCCGAGTAAGAACTAGGGAAGCAAACGGCACAGGAATGCAAGAAGGTGCTAATTGTGTATTGTATAATCCATACATCCCATTGGTTAAAACATGAAAATCTGCTATAATTTCCCAAGTTATCGAATTTTCTAATATTATATTTAATGTCGTTTTTCGCTTTCATGAAAGCTTTCTTTAGCTTCAATATTAAGGCAATTCTATGTGGGGAACATTGCAAATTAGAAGCATCTTTTAGCTATTGTTTTGAGTGCTTATGATTGGATAAGAGCTTTTAATACAAAAGAAACTTTGTTTCAAAATAGAGTTTATCCACATTTTATTTCAAAAATGTGTTACCCACAAATGGATACATAATCAGTGTGAAAACCAAGACATTCGTACATGGGGAACTTGCTATGCCGCACAACAATAGAGAGCTCCCTAGTTCTTACGCGCATTGTTACTTAATT